GGAAAGAGGGCTCCAAAAGGTGAGATAACGTATCCAACGCCAAGGTTAGAGCTGCACTGAACCCAGTGACCGGCTGATTTCCATGTCAGCGCTCCGCCTTATCAAATTAAACATAGTAACACGAAAAATAACTGTGGAAGGGAGGAAGAAATAAAATATCGGTTGTATTTTAAACTACTAAGAAGTCTGAGTACTACAAGAGGGACCTCCATCATGAGAATGCGTTACAGGCCATAGTGATAAGAAATGTCTTCATGGTAGCAACTTAGCTTCCTGGTGAGTGGGGTGCTACAAATGAAATTTTATATCTTGCAAATCCTACCTCTTAGTCCATTGACTTATCACAAAAATACTGCTATTTCAGTCATAATATTAAAAGAAAAAAAATTCCATTGGTCGAAATAAAATAAAAAAAAAAATCTCTTCCTGTAATATGCTTGGAAAATGAATCCAAAAACATATTCTTAGATGATCTCATGAAACACAAAGCCACATACAGAAAGCAGACAAGACATAATGATAAACTCCAATGATCTTTGAGAAACAAAGGAGAAAAAAGAAAAAGAAAGCAGAAAAGTAAAACTGTGGGAATGGAAGATTTTATTGAAAGAAAAACAGACAAAATTGTGGATCAGAAAACAATCACCAAGCTTACAACTGAATGAACAATGAGAAAAACGAACCATCTCTTTTCTGAGCTCTACGAAGGACCTAAATTACACAACTGAAAAATAATCACGAGAAAAAGAACGTAAACCCACCCTCTCCCTTTCTTTGGAGAATGTGGAACCCAGCCTGTCTTGAGTCTTTCACAAGCATAACCTCATCTTATAGCAAGAATTCTCCACTGCCCCCAAGGGGTTGAAAACAGGTACTTGTGAGGTCAAAAGAATCTACTCTCTTTAGGCACAGTGCACAGATACACATAGTGTACATAAACAGTATATCTGTGGTATTACATTTTCAGGGGTGAATAAATGTCTAAAACAGCTCCTTAAAAGGGGCAAGTAATTTTTGAAAAGTTGAGAAATACTGCCTTGCAGAAATTCTGGTTTGGCTTTGCATTAGAAATGTAGTATGGAAGTCTAAAACACCTTCTCAAACTCACATAAGTTTCCAAACTAAAGGAGTAAAAAATGAAAAACACTTGGTGGCTCTTGGCCGGGCAGCGGTAAAGGGAAGACATTTTATAATGCCTAAAGGAAAAAGAAAGGAAAAGAGGTGAGTTTTTCCATGAGTTTAATCATCTGGGGTGTCCCCAGGAGTAAGAAGGGAACTGCCCCCAGAAAGGCAGGCTTAAGGAAGTACCGAGCTCACTCACCAGCACAGCCACCCCTTCCTGGCCCCAAACTGTGGAGGTCTGGGAGCCTTGCTCAGAACACTACATAGGAAGAAAGCCACACTCTTTATTTGAAGATCCGAGTAAAACACGTGAGCTGACAAATCGCAAAGACAAATTGCAAATGGCTTCCGTGTGGTTACTGAAAAAGCTTAGAGCGTTTGCTTTGCACCCCTCCTTCCCTGACACCCACATTTCTGAGAAATGAAAGCATCAATTCTCTACACTGCTCAGACCCCCGGGGAGAACCTGATGAACTTCTGCGTATGTGAGTAGTGCCTCTGCCTGTCCAAAAGATTGTTATTTCTAAGGCCTTAAATGCAAAAGAGAGAGAACCTAGAAAGCACGTTCTTTTCTTTTCTTTGGCTCACTGGCCGAGGTTAGTCTTGGGAGCCTGCGTGTGCGTGTCTAAACCTGCACGGGGGAGCTGGGGGCCGAGGCCCCAGCCCCTCAGAGGAACTCAAACCAGCAGCGTGGGTGGCTATCCCTGAAGAAAAAGGAGTAGGCGTGACAAAGGCTCCCCGCTTGCCGTTGGTGGATCAGGGACCACAGGGAGTCGCTGAGGAGGGCAGAGAGGGGCCGAGGGCCCTGGGGATCACCTTCCAGCGGCTTCACGATCTGGAGTTTCTCCGGCAGGTAGGAGCGGCTGCTGAAGGACATGCCCGAGAAGCCGGTGAACTCGGAGAGGCGGGAGTGCGTGCCCAGGGACGGGATGCTCTCGGTGGGCGTGAGCGAGCCGCTGAGCAGCTCGCCCTTCTCCGCCAGCTCCCGGAGCTTCCTCTCCTGCTCCTCCTCGAAGAACCGCCGCTCCGAGAGGTAATTCTCCCGGCGGAGGGACAGCCGCCTCAGCGCCGTCTCCAGGTCGTGGGAGCCCGGGGTGCCCGGCGTCCCCGGCTTCTTACTCGGCTCCTTGTTTCTGGAAGGAGGGGAGACGGGGTGAGCGTGGAACGCCCAGCAGGGGGCGCCGTACACCCTCCAACGAGGCCTGGCTGCTGAAAGCGCAGGGTTTTCTAAGGAAACCGAGGTAAGCCTTTGCAATTTAGGCAAAAAAATGGAGAAACAAGTGCCTGTCCCGAAGAACTAATTCTCTCTCGTTTTTTCTCTCCGCGGGGGGCGGGGAGTGAAGAAAGCACTCAGGCAGAATGAAAATTTGCACCCACAAGGTAAAATCCAGTCCCTAGAAACACCCATCTCAGAGCCCATGAGAAGAAGCCTTCTCTGCCACAGCTCCCAGTTACCAGAGGGGCGGCGGGCTCCAGGATGCTTCTCTTTTCTCTCGAAGGTAAGGAGCTGACGGCTTAAAAACAGTTCTGATCAAGCAATTTCCCCACTGAACTCAACTGGTCATAAAAAGACACGATTTTATTAAGTCACAGGAAAAGGGTGCACAAAGTGGACGACGTTGGGGTGGGGGGTGTTTTGCAGGGCTTCAAGACAAACAGGGACTGACCACTGTGGAGGAAGGCCCAACCCAAGGACACTCAGTGTGACGGGCACTTGCTGGGCACCCTGGACCCCAGCTTCTGAGACAAACCAGATTCTGGTCACAGGACACAATCTGAGTCTCCCTGAGCCTTTCGAACATCCCAGCTACAAAGGGGTTCATGAAACACAGGTCTGTTCTGTAGCCTTAACAGTGTAGATTAAAAGAAACAAATATTCACTGCCCCGCCTTCAGCATCTTACGGAAAAGCAGACTCCTTGTCACACCTCTTCAAACTGGTTCAAGTATCAGCATCGAGGATAAGCGAAGGCTTGACAGGTGGGTAAAACTCATTTGAGAACCGAGAGGTGTGTGTGTTTCAGACAATTCTTAACGGCCTCCCCCTTCTCATTACTGAACCCGCGTTCGATCCACATCCCCTCCCCCCGAAACGGAAAGGTAAAACTGACTCCCGCTAGCTCACCCCAGGTCGGCCGACTCCGCTTCCAGGATGATGCTGTTGGTCTTGTTGTCCAGGACGACGTTGCCGACGTCGCTGCCGTAGAAGCTGGACCGGGGCGTGCTGACGCAGCTGGACAGGAGGGAGTTCATGGCCGAGGACTGGTTGGAACCGGGGATGTTCATGGGCGAGGGCGTCAGAGACCTCTGCCTGACGACCTGGTTGATGTTTCTCACGGTCTCAAAGACTCGCTTCTGGTGCCTGGGGAGAACGCACAGCAGCACCTGCGAATCAGCGACTGCAGGAACGACCTTGGCGTTAAACCCTCCAAAGAGTATCGACCGAGGCCAAAAAAGGCAACCGACCGACGTGAGCCCCCAAGCAACCTGTCATCCATTCTGTGCCTGCCACGTGTTTCCTGGGGAGATGGTTGGAATGCAAGGGACTCAACACCCACAGAATTAAAAGCTCTAATATGCGGCTGTGTCCCCCGAGGTAAAGTTAGCACGAGTGATATGCTTTCCGCTTCCCTTGAGCCTGACCTACAAAAGGAAGTAAGTAGTACTCTGTCTCTCAGCTGGTTTTCTTTTCCAGGATAGTCACTGGAATACACATCTTTCTTCTTCCAACTTCCTGGAAGTTCATAATACGTATCTTTAAAGCCTAACAAGAGACACCGGGGGGTGTTGTCAGCTGTCATTTCCCTTCATCTGGATTTAACCTGTGGAAGGACCACAGTGATCACGGTGGGTCTCGGGAAGCTTAGAAGAGACACGTACGCGATGTCAGGTGAGTCCGGCTCTTCCAGCTGCAGCTCCTTGCGCATCGTCCCCTCAATCTCGGCTGCCAAGGAGTCCTGGGAAAAGCCAGAAGACACACGCATGAGCGGCAGCTCAAATGCTCCGGCTCTCAAAGAGGCCTGTGGCCGGGCGAACCAAAGAAGGGTAAACTGAGGCCTCAGGAGCCCGCAGACTTCCCACAACGGCATCTGCCATTGTTAGAGCCCATGGCTGAGCAACCCCCAGGGCAGGCACTGAACATAGCAGGCACCAACGGGCTCTGAGCATAAAGCCTCTTTGCTGCCACGCAGCGAAGGGTCTGAAAGCAGACCCCATGTTCCCCTGGCCAAACCACAGAGCTGCAACTGTGGCCTCAGGAGAGGCAGAGAGCTTATGGGGAGAGAGGACTGTGTTCGGAATGACACAGATGGGCGGATTTCCATAGGACGGAAAGCTGAGGAGCAGTCAGAGATGCTGTCACAGCCCACATGGGTCCACACTAAGCGACTGCCCTCCCAGTCTCCAGGGTCTGCTAACTCCTCGGCACATGCAGGGTTCCGAACCGCCCGCCGCTCCTCATCATGTGAGGGAGAGCCTAACAGACAGTCCCTCCCACAAATGCCAGCAGAAGCAGGCGTGTGCAGAAAAGCACCTGCTGAGGCCTCAGAGGTCACCCATGTAGGACAACAGAAGAGAAGGGCTAAATCCATGCGAAGCAAGAGAACTTCCTGTGATGATAGGGACGTCCTCTGTGCTGTCCAGTGTGGGGGCCACCAGCCACAAGGCGCCGTCAAGCCCTTGAACTGTGGCCAGTGTGACGGAGGAAGTGAATTCTTTAATTGCATTTCATTCCAATTGATTGAAATTAAATCAATTTAAAGACCTTTAATGCATAATGCACTTTAAAAAGAGACATCTTCAAAATAAAAATTGTGCCAGCAGCTACAGAAAAAGGCAAACTAAAGTTTTATCCTGGCAAATACGAAAGCTGAAAAATCTCTCCAGAAGAAACCCAAATGCAGATTTTCGATTCAACTTTTCTCATGTAATGGTTTAAAATTTTAAAATACAGGTCTGTCCTTAAGAGTGGGGAGTGCAGTGGAGTGAACCCCAACTGCCCGGGAAACAAGACAGTCCCGGGAGCCCGCCACTTCCGGGTGAGAAGCCAGGAAGGAGGCAAGGAGCGTGCAAAGCCGCACGGGCCGGTCTGTGAGCTGAGTGTAGTCAGCTCTAGACCGAGG